CAGAACCTTTTTACAAAACCCCACTGTAGAGAACAGGCAAGCCGACGTCGAGTCCAGAAAGAAATATAACGAAGCGGTTCGCAAAGTCAAAAACCAGCACGCTATAAAAGTTAGGCACAGGGTAATGTCGCAGCGCAATGGCAGTCGGTCTTTCTGGACGCTGGCCAAGCAGATTGAAAAGAACTTCCCACACAGTAGTCTTCCACCACTTACGTGTCAGGATGGAACTATTGTATTAGACTCAAAGGCCATGGCGGAAGTGCTGGTCAAGATATTTGCTGCCAACTCCTCCATGGATGTCCCCCCCAACGCCCAAGCGCCTTCAATTCAAAGGGCTCCCTACACTATGCGGGAGCACTATGCAACCCATCCCAAAAAAGAGATCTAAGACTGACCCTTACAACTACAGGCCTAAAGCTCTGCTTTCTGTTATAAGTCAGGTGATGGAGGGGCAGTATGGTTTCCGGCACCAACGATCCACAGGGGATCTTCTAGCTTACGTCACGCAATTGTGGAGTAAAGTTATCCAGTCTTATGGTGAGGCTCATGTCGTTGCTCTTGACATCACGAAAGCGTTCGATCAGCTGTGGCACGCTGCCCTCTTAAGCAAACTTCCATCCTATGGCCTTCCAGAAAAGCTTTGCAGATGGGTGGCTGACTTTATCTCTGGTCGCAAGATATCCGTCCTAATTGACGGGTTCTCCTCTTCATCCCACAACGTGAACACGGGTGTTCCCCAGCGATCGGCCTTGGCTCCGACACTGTTTCTCTTACATATCAACGACCTCCTTTCCTGCACGATCAACCCAATCCACAGCTTCGCTGATGACAGCACTCTACATGCAGGAATTCAGAGTGACAAGCCGATCTCCGCCGCTGAGCTGGAAAAAAGAAGACCAGTGACGACTTCCTGTCTGCACCGATATAAAAAAGACAGTTATATGGCTTGTCGTAAAAATAACATTTATTAAAGTAAAATTTCAAATTACCCAGTTACGGTGTGCTAGAGCTGTGAATTTGAAATGAAGTATATTATTCTTTGACTAACGTAAATCTTAAAAAAATCGGAAAACGAGATGGCAAGTGAAATATTTTTCGAAATAGTACGGAAGTTTTGTTTTTTGTTTAATTTTTTTAACTTTAGGAGCAGTATGCAGCAGAGGAGGACATTAAATGGAACGTTAACAAGACTATGCGATTAACTGATTTCTAATAAAATAAATATATAAGATTAATATTACTAATGACATGACTGAAATTTATTGATCAAAATTATCACCACTCGCCAGTGTAATTTTCATTTCTGGTTCTTGACACTCATATAATCAGCTCAACATCTCCTGCCGCATTTGAATCGGTCCACGGTAATCTTCATCATAACCCATTTGTATATGTGTAATAAACGGCACAATAAGCGATTAAGATTTAGGTTTGATACTTGAAAGGATTGCATAAAATAGCAACTACAAAATCCAGCTTCCCAGCTCATTTATCAGAACCAGGACCATGAGAATCGTATCAGAATAAGTTCCTAATTTAATAACTGAATCAGTTCCATTTTCTGTTGTAATGGTAATTTCGATCAGCGCATGCTCTGTTCAGTTCAGAACTAGTTCGATGGTTTTCTGGAAAAAGCTTATACTAAGCAAACAACAGTATGCCACTATTTTTACGAAAAATACATCTGTATCATGAAACCAGATTGGCTCTAGGTAAAAACCATTCATTGGAGTTTTTCGGTCTTTCAAAATAGAATTATTCCGCCAATCTGTTTGAAAAATATTAACCAGGAGAGCACTTTCTTTAAGGGACATAGCAAAACCTCGAAATACACTTTTCTCGAAGAATCAATCTGGCTTCGAGGAAACAATACTTATTTTGCGATAACCAGCGGTATACAAATTTTTGTGCGGGTAAATGAAAATCTGACTACCTTCACCTCCTAATGGCTTGCCAAGCTGATTCTCGTCCTCACTTGTTTGCTATACGTATGTCGAACGACTAATCTAAGACCTATACAGCACAGATAAGTTGGTAATGAGCACGAAACAAGGTCTGTAGATGGTCAGGGTTACATGAGACGGGAAGCAAATATGTCCATTGCAGCCGTATACATTTTTTATTGAAGTTTTTCTCGTAGAACTGCAGCAAAAAGTTGACTTAAGACGGTTATGGGATATGGGATTATAGTATAACAGCAGCTGAAATATTTTCAAAATGGTGGCGCTTCCGGTGGTACCGGAAGTAGATACCAGCTTGCTTATTTCAGTTAGGACAACCTGTATATTTATTATTTTTTGAACTCTACACGAGATTCATGTTTATTCAAAGTCCAACCGTTTTTATCTCAAATATCGCGTAAAAAATTATACTTAAATGCAAGTGAGTTTTAACTGTTCTTTTCTCGTATGTTTTCCTTTGCCATATGCTTTGTAATGGATTTCTCATAGCAGGTGACCTAGTCCAGTGGATTTTACTCCATTTGGCGATCAAAAAAAAAGAAAAGGAAAATGAAATTTAAGAAGTAGAGTTTTAGAAAACCCAAGAAGCCAATTTTTTCAAATGAACACCACTTTTACGGTAAATTTTATATAAAGTTATCTATTTCGCAAACGTGCAGGATATATGGAAATCATAGTTTTTCTTTCACTTAGGCCCGTATCGTCAGTCGTCCCTACAATTGTAGGGCGCGTTTATGCCTCCTTGATTGTCATAGTTTTCTACTTCTCCGTGTCAGAGCTCTATTTTGAGGTTATGTCACAAACATCTATTTGCATCAAATTGTGCTTGCTTTTGAGTTATATCATGTTTTATCAGCCTGAAGTTTCCTACAATTTAATGGAAACCATATCTTAACAATAGGAGAGCGCTGACGCTGTTACGGGACAAGTGTAATCTAGGAATTTTTGAAGGAGAGAAAGGAGTGTAACAATCAAGGAGGCCATAAACGCACCCTACAATTGTAGGGACGACTGACGATACGGGCCTTAAATGCTTCATATACGGCCTTAACCATAAAATAATCTCAGTTGGCCATGACGCGGCGACAGCGTGATATTTGGTGCTATTCACCTTGGCCAACTGAGATTATCTTACGGTAAAAGCCCTATGGATGGCATTAGGTTTTATAAAATCTAATCTTCATTCTTGTTTGTGACCACCCTGTACCATTTGTTATCCAAATTCGGAATAAAAATGACAAAGGAAGCCTCCTTATATTATATAAATTAGTTTTTTGCATTAACCTAACCCTAAGGAGTACTTCCTTCATTCTGTGATTACCTTTTTGCCAAAAAGATAGTAGCATACAAATTGAACTTAATATTTAAACTTTCAATGAAGTCAAAAGTCCCAATAAAACATGTTTAAATTCAATTTTCTCCATACATGACACTTATCTACTTGTGTCTTCAAATGTTTGCTCAAAACCAGAGATATCTCAGAGACAGTTAGACGTAGACATAAGATGATATAAATGAAATGTATTTAGAACCACGCGTAGAACTGATAATTTAATCATATACCTACTATGAAAAATAAGGAATCTGGTATGAACGAACGGTATTACCGGAAGTGCCACCATTTTGAAAATATTTTATCTGAATTGCTCCCATGAATTACTACTACTACTATAAATCCAGATTTCCATTTCCACATGTCTCAAATCAACTTTTTGAATAATCGACGGTAGGAGTTTCTCGTGGACACCCTGTAAAGGGAGGATGCAGAAAAACATCTATGAATAGCAAGCTATTCGGTTATAGAGATTGATCGTATCACACTCATAGATCAAACAAGGCAGGATGTTAAAACACGTTTATCCCAAGAGGGCAGAGTGGCCTTTCAAGCTAAGCAATGCAATAACCTTTATAACGTTGATAGCTATAATAACACAGTGTAGCTCGTATGTACTCATACGCGGCTATCCAACGGAAGTCGACGGTTTTTAACCAGCGTAGAACTGGTCTAACTTCTTTTTAGTCCACAGAGATTTAATGACAGCCGAGCTCGACAGAGGTTAATGTATCCATCTGCCATAGAAGGGACAATTAACTTTTTTATGTTTAGTTGAATGATGTAGTCGTTTGCTTTAAGTGGGATAGTGCTATTTCATATTTAGAAATAACAAGAGTTGGTTTAACTGTATAAACACGTGGAGAGGTCGTTACTCTACGGTTTTTCAAGGTGATACCATGGTAATATGATTTGTGATCTTTGGGCAAATAAGCAGATTAAAGTAGAAAATAGTCTAGTCAATTGACTGTCTACTCCTCCCTCATCAGCATAAATCTACGTACACATATCGGATTCTATATAGGATGTCCTAGAATGAAAAGTATTCTACAGGTGACACGCTACTAGGAACCTGTATCTCTCAAATAACTTTTAAATGGCGCCGTATAATCCGACGAAAATTTGACAATATAGTAACCAATTAGGACTTCACATTACGGCGTCAATAGAAAACTTAATTTGTTTGGACCACCAGAGCCGAACTCGATACTAACCAATATTGCTATTGTTAATTTTTGATTTTCGCGCTACTAGCGAGGAAAAATTGTTGTCGCGCAAGTCTTGAAAATGAGGTATTACGTTTTTTGGGTGTCATATGACATCTTCATCACCTAAAACCATGTTATTCATTTCAGTTGGTCTGTTTGTCGGTCTGTCTGTCTGTCTGCCTGTTGGTATATAAATAATACACTGAAAGGCATAACAACGTGGCTAAATATATGCACTGGGCTATCTTTAAACACCATCAAGCACCAGTTAGTAACAACTGGTATTATCAGTCTCCTGAAGCAGCAGTAGAGTCAGATGGAATGTCAATCCGGTACGACAAAGGAGTCATTACCCACCTAAATCTCCGCCAACTGACCTGACATTGTTTACCTCAATAAAACACATAACACCTGTTTGCTAATCGAGATACGAGGGATGTCTTTTAAGTTTTGCATATGGAAATAAAACAACACGGTAGGTAGTTTTAAATGACTCAATTATTTTTCGAAGTATTCTCCACGAAGATTAATACACATCTGCATGCGCTCGAACCAACTTTCGAAGCACTTAGTCCACTCGTTTTCTGGCAGATCCAAAACGGCATTTTTTAATGCGTCACCTACTTCTTCTGGTAACTGGAACCTTTGACCACGCAGTCTGTTTTTAATTTTCGGGAAAGTAAATAAATCGTTAGGACCTAGATCGGGACTATATCTAAGATGGTCCAATAATTCCACGTTTTCTTCCGTTAAATACTGCCTTGTTTTTTGGGCTGTGTGCGAGCTTGCATTGTCTTGGTGGAAGATGATTCTTCTTTCGTGGTTGACTTTTCGAAGCTCGGTGATGACTTTTGGCAAACAAATGGTGGTATACCAATCCGCAGTAACAGTTCGTTGCTCATTAAGAGGAATTGTTGACACAAATGTCGCGACCATCTTTTTCGAAACACTTCGAGAACGGAAGACTTTTGTTGGGTTTTCTTCACCTTGGAACACCCAAACAGCCGAATGTCGTTTATTTTCTGGTTCATAACAGTAAATCCACGAGCATTGTTATGCTGTACACGTTTTTTGGGTTTCCGGAATTGAAACGGTCAAACGTTTTTTGACACCAATTAACCCTGGCTGCTTTTTGCTATTCAGTCAACAAGTGGGGAATCCAACGAGAAACTAATTTTCTTACTCCTAATTCTTCATGTAAATTTTTTTCAATTGAGCTCTTTGAGATCTTCAAGGATGTCTCAATCTCCCGATATGTCACATGTCTATCTTCAATGATGAATTTGCGCACACCATCGACGTTTTCCGGGGTGACTGCTGTTTTTAGTGCACCCACCTTGGGATCGTCGCTAAGACTCACCCGTCCACGTTTGAATTCTCCATACCAACGGGAAATTGTCGACTGATGTGGCGCTTCGTTGCCGAAAACAGTAACTCAGCAAGACATTCTTGTTGCGATAATTGTCTCTGAAAGTTGTAATAAATTATGGCGCGAAAATGTTCTCGGTTGAGTTCCATTTTTCTAATGACTTGGTGACATTTAAAAATTCACTGTAGTGAGAACACTGCACGTATTTTTGTGAAACTTTGAATTTAAGTTTACTAAAGAGTGAGGTTAAGGTTCTATATGCAAAACTTAAAAGGCATCCATCGTATCTGTGCCAGACGTCATCATCAAAGAAGCCGAAAAGGCCAGGAAATATAAAGACCTCGAAATCGAAGTAGCATGCTTGTGGAAGACAAAGGACGGTGCCATTGGTTATCGGAGCTTTGGGGACTGTCACTGTGTCATTCAAGGAAGATATAAAATAACTCTCCGGATATCTTTTTGCAACAGAATTACATAAAATAACACTGCTAGGAACAGCCCACATCTTGCGGAAGACCATTTCTGAATAAATACCTTAGAACTTAGGCAGAATTCCGGTCAAGCTAATCGTTTGCTCTAGGTAGTGCAATACAGTCAAGATAATAGTAATAATAATTATAATGGTAGTAATAATATAGCCTTTATCAAAAATAGTGAACGGAATCCGTGCAAGTTATCTTCCAGAGGAGCACGGTGTATCATCAAACGACTCAACAACTGAATCAATTTCAGTCAGAAACAGCATAGAGCAACAGAAAATAAAGTTAGTCAAGGGCAAGCCTCTTCACGGCCAATTATTTCATAGTCTGGAGAAGCCGTATGTAGCTAAGCAAAACTAATCATCTTGGCTACACAATTCAGACTTGAAAGGAGAAACCGAAAGCTTGCCCATTGCTGTTCAAAATCAAGCTTCAAATACGAGATACCACACGCGAAATATCATGGGCAAGGAAGTGGATAGCAGATGCTGAATGTGCAGTGCACGAGAGGAAACAATCCAACACGTCCTTACAGGAAGTACAGTTTTGGCGGCAACCGAATATCTCCATCGTCATAACAGTATATTCACTGGAAAATCTGTAAAGACCTCCAAGTTGATGTATCTCGAACATGGCAAAACCATAATCCATCTGCGGTAATTGACAAAGGCCACAATTTTTTAGGACCATCTGATCATACCTGATCGTACAGTATCAGCTGACCGCCTAGACATCGTTATTCATCTCAGGTCAAATAAAACCTGCTTATTGATAGATGTAGCTGTTGCAGATGATCAGAACGTGACCATGAAAGTCGCAGACAAACTCTCAAGATGTAACGACATGCAAATAGAAATAGAGCGGATGTGGAAGGTTAAGGCCAAGATCGTACCGGTTATATCCGGATCACTAGGAACAGTTGTTGAGTTCCGGAAGCTGATGAATATCCGACTGGGAAACGTCGTGCGTACATAGAACGATAATAATAATAAACATCAAAATAAGAACAATAATAATTGATTTTCCTTTAGACATGCATAAACGTGTATTGGATTCATCAAAAATGCAATAAATATGTACAAAAACAAATAAATGTAAAACAAACAAATAACACGCAACAATAAAAAAGTTAAAATTATTGATTAAAATAATATCTAGAAACTGACGACGCCGCTAATTGCATAAAACAGTTACTGGTATAGTAGCTTTTCAGCTCAGATTTCAAACGTCTTGTAGAAGGGATTGAAATCCGTATATTTGTCTATCTGTCCGTGCACCAAAGAAGAAACACTTTTGTAGCTTCCGGAAATCGGCCCAGTAGTGGAGGATCTGAGGCCAAAAAACGTTCCCCTCATATGGGCTAACTTGTGCTGAACATAGTCTAAAGGACTGATGACAGCGTTGAACTTGAAGTACAGAACCTACCTCTCTGACGCCATTTTTTACACATTGTATAATGATGGTTCCACGATGGCGTTCTTCGTTTGGCATACATAAAATAAACCGTATTTTAATAAAGCCGGTATTGTTTCAGTATAGTTATATTAATTATGGTACTAGAACTAGTATAACATATCATTCTGATAATAAAAACGTAATCAGCGACCCAAAAAACTCAAAATATTAATTTTCAGGTCACTTAATCATGACTTAGATTCCTGTCAAACTTTCTGGTGACATCTCATTATTATTCACTTAAAAAATAGTTATTAATCTATACGCAAAACTCAACAAACAGGAGCTGACTTCTTTGTCTATTCTTCTCAGCATACACCTTGCTTTGCAGTCTACACCATTAACCCAAACATGGATCTGACCTTATATCATTAGTGCCAATCTGTGTTACATAAGTTCAAATTCTGTCACCAAGACAATGCGAGTAAGGTCATTACCATTGTGACCTTGCCGAGATGTGTACTTCGGTACTCCAGCGACAACTGAGACTTGAGCTTGCCACACACGCTAGGGTATACCTGACAGGTGTGCTTGAACAGTTGAACCGTACAGGTAAAACATCTTTCTTCTCAACAGCAATCTCAAGATTTTCGAACATGAAGAATCTTTTATTTGAATAGTAGCTCATTATCGAAGGTACTATTTCTCCCAATAGGTTCTACATTCAAGTCGAACTATTGTTCACCCAGATGACATTCACAGAGCAACTAATCTTGTTCATGAAGTGAGAAATGCTCTTCATGAATTCCGTAATGAGCAATGGAGCGACTTTCTGTCGGAAATGCTTGACTCAAGTATTCCTCTCTGGAAAGTTGCAAAGTCGCTCAGAAACGGAAAGCGAGAACAACTCCCGCACATCCACGGTCCTAGGGGCTTAGTCTGTAGGACAGAGGAAAAGGTCGAGGTTTTCGCTGATGCAATGGAAAGTCAGTTCTCTCCCAACGATGACCTTGAAAATGACCTCGACGAGGAGCAACATATTGTAAGATACGTCAGGAGATATTTTAGGGCCAACGGCGTCAGTGGCAGTAGTCCGTCCCTTAGTGACTTTTCCTCAGAGGAATCTCCAGAAGATTCCTCAATTGAAGAGCTGCACGGCACATCAGCGGAATCTCCTGAGACTCCGCATTCCACACCAGCAGAGCTCCAAGGTCATATTAAAGACCTCAAGGTGCGTAAAGCACCCGGAGAGGATCGAATCACTAATAAGGCGCTGACGCTACTTTCGCGAAAGTCCTTACCTTATCTCGTGGCAATAAGCAATGCTATGCTAAGAACCCAGCACTTCCCAATGGCGTGGAAGACCGCTGATGTCATAATGATTCCAAAGAAGGTGGGTTCGATATTCCCCCAGGATTACCGCCCCATTAGTCTACTATCAGCTCCTTCTAAACTCACTGAAAAGGTGATTCTACGTCACCTTGAAAATTTCTCGGCAGACCACAATGTGATTACTGACGTGCAATTTGGCTTTCGGTCTGAGCATAGTACGGAGCTACAGGCCATAAGGCTTGTTGAACGAGTAACCAGCGGGTTCACCCGTAACGAAAGTACTGGCATCTTGCTACTGGATGTCTCATAGTCATTTGACAAGGTGTGGCACAAGGGCCTTCTCTACAAATTGATCCATGGCTCCTAAAACTTTTGAAATCCTTTCTCGAGGGTAGGAAATTTCGGATCAAAATTAATAACGTTCTGTCGACAACACGGCCCATCAAAGCCGGTGTTCCTCAGGGTTCGGTTCTTGGACCAGTCCTTTATTCACTTTTTATTCATGACGTCCCTTGCCCCAGCAGCCGTGAAACCTATCTCTATGCTGATGACACTGCCCTGGTGGCCCACTCGTGCTCTGAGAATGGGCGAATCGGTGGCTGATCAATATTAATCATTCGAAAACGCAGGCAATCTATTGTACTAAAAAACGTAGCGGCGCCCCGTCTGAGGTTTCAGTGAATGGAGCTCAGGTACCACGGGAAAGCTCTGCTAAGTATCTCGGTGTCACTCTTGACAAAGGGATAACCTGGCAGAAGCACACTGGAGCGTTAAAAACTAAATTCCAAATCCCGTTTCGGCAACTCTACCCTATGCTATGTAGAACATCAAAATTAAGTTTGATCAACAAAGTTCGGCTATACAAGATGGTTATTAGACCAGCAATCACTAGCGCAAGTGCGGCTTGCTGTTTTCCCACCAAAACGCATTTGCGTAGCCTGCAGGTTTTGCAGAACAGAACCTTGAGTACAATCAATAACGCCCCATGGTATGTTTCCAACGAGACCCTTCACAGAGACCTTGACATCCCTTACCTAAGGGCGCAGCTACGTTACAGTCAAGCAGAATCGCATAACAACCCTTTGTTGCGCGAGTCAGTAGACTACACAGTCGAGCAAGTTCGCAAGCACACAAGGCCGCGACTCGCACTGTGAACAAAATTAAATCGTGCGACTTTAGGTCCAACCAAAATTATAATTTTTCTTCAACAGCCAATCCCAAAATTAATTTTAGGATCAATTTAAAATTGCCGAATACTAATTAGCAATGCCAAGGCACCCCCCAAATTGATGCACTTCGTTTTTACCGAAATTCCTATGGACAGTATTATCCATTATTTCAAATCATTCTAAAAGTGACAGCATTATTAATTTTATTTTATTTAAGAAAAATCTAACCTCTACCGTCACTGTCGCAGCATTACCTATCGATGAATTCTTAAAAACATTGGAGATGCCGTTGCATTTGTTGTGTGTTATTGCCAAACAAAAAACCTATCTTTAATAAATTAAAACAGCATCCAAAATGTTTGTTCACGGATGTGATTATCTCATGGCGCACAAATCTAAAAATAAAAAATTATAGTGATTCGTTCCTTCACTAATGTTTAATCTATTGATGAAAGCTTTATCTCGGTATTTAATAACGATGTTATTTTACTTTACACGCCAACTGTCCAATTATTATTATAAACTAGTTTATTTATACGGTAATTCTACGCACCGTTTAGACATGTTTCATATATCACAGATTTACACTTAAAACTTAGATTGATGGAAAAATGTTTGCAACACAAGCGTCCCAATGTAGATCTACATGTGTGTCGAGACCTCACCGATGTCTGAACGATTGGTGGCTGGCGTGTGGCGAGGTTAGTCGTAGCAATATTGACAGATGGTCGTTACCGTCGTTTGGGCAGGGGAGAAATTCTAGACCGCAACGAG